TATATAATTCTGTGTAGATTTTAATTGATATTTGCCACTAATGTTAGAGCAAACAAATCAAATTTTTGCCGTCAAGTATCTCATCCTGGACTTTGTCGGACGAGGTGGAGATCTCAGCCTGAATGGACAGAATGGCGCAAATGAACGTGGCCACTGTACTGCCCACTGCCAAATACAAGCCCCAACCTGTCAATCAAATTGCATCAACATTTTTAATGATCACTTTATATGCAATTTATTCACTGAATTAACAGAATATTTAAGATAAGTATCTGATTTTTCAGTTAATTAGTACATCGATTAAAATACTAATAATATATGAATGGTATGAATGGATGGTATGGTATACCTATAGTGCAGTCTCCGAGTAGGAAAGGGTCGGCTTTCACACCGCAAACACGTTCAACTCGATCGGTGCCCCAGCCTTTCAAATGTCATAGAAATAATTAATGGTAATTAATATCTAGATTACATAATAATGTGGTTAATATACACTATTAAATTGATTTCTAATTGCAATTCAATTTCCAGTACTCAAGAACAATAAATGGGGTTATAATTTCCATACACAACGTATATTACTGACAAACAAAACTAATAATTTTATAAGTTTTATAATTAATGTATGTAAATTTATATACACTATACGTCGACTATGAGATTTATAAACTCCGTTTATTGTGTGCTGTCCTGTATTGTAATTAAAAATTTATTTATAAATTTTAAAAAATAAAATAAAGTTTATTAATATTAAAAAACAAGATATAATGCCATTTCACAAAAAAGCCAGAAATATGTGAAACATTTACTAAATTAATATAAAAATAAATAACGAATTTCTATTCCTAACCGCAACACACCCTAAACCATACAAATATAGCATTTATTAACTAATTAATTAAATTTAGATAACATTTCTGTCACAATCAAAACATTTCCTATTATTAATATACCTATAATGATATTTTATTGTGTATTTTATTAATAAAATACATTAGAAATGTACCTTTAAATTATATATTAATCTAAATTCTAGAAGTTGTATTTTAACCTTATTTATATTTATAGAAACACATTCATTAATATCAAACCATGATGATTTATCAATTAGATGTGGAATTGTAAACTAGTAAACAAGCAGCTCTGGTCAAACTTCCAATTGAATAAATCTGTATTCAATAGCATTAGTGCTATAATTTAAAACACTTTGGGAAACATATTTCAGGATTTACTCAAATTCAATGGTTTCAACAGAAAATAATAAATTGTTTTTATAGTCTATTAAATCAATAAATATTACATAAATTTTGCAAAAACTATACCCTTCTTATATCTTATATTTTGCTTCGAGGAGAGAGAGAGAGAGAGAGAGAGAGAGATGGCAAAAAGAAAGCTTTCAAACGAAAATACTTTGAAATGGAAAACATTTCCAAACGTAAATTATTGCTAATATTATATTTTATATAAATCACATGTGAATTACATTTGAAAGTCCATTAAATTAAAATAAAATTTATGTCTAATAAAAATAAAACATACTATTTTAATACAAATATAAAATTCTTACCAAAAGGATATGAAAAAGTGCCCAAAATATAAAACAAACCTATAATGAGATGTCAATCACAGTGTTATTTATTTAATCAGTATTTATATCTATTTAATTATGTTTTAATGAATGAATTTCTAATATATTTCTATATTTCTAATTTATTTCTATTGTGCATGTGTTTAGTTTGTTAACAATCGTTCATAATTTAAATGCAATTAATAATTACCGGCCACGGCTTGTATTGTCCCGGATATTGTGAATATACTTTTGCGACAAATACTTCTCTTACAACAGCCTTAAGGCACGCATTGAATAGAAAAACATATAAAATGTGAGACAAAGAAAGAGAAAAAAGCAATCGATTATAATTGTGA